ATATTTCACCAAAATTTAACAGGTGTGATCCCTTTCTTTATGAAGCACTGCTGCTGGGAATGGTGGGTTTCAGTCTAATGGCACATTCATCATGCTAATATTTCAGATGCTATTGATCATTACACATTTATGTTCTGTACAACACAGTATTAAGACAAACTCATTGGTATGTGACATGAAGTTAACACAAGTAACAGGTGTAAATCACAATGTTTTATCAAAAATAAAAAGTGAAATGGGACGACAGGTTTTTCATGTAAGAACTGTTAACTATTTGTAGAGCACTTTTCAAGCTAATTTATGAAAGATTCACCACTTTATTTGCATGTCTCTGGTAAATCTGAGTGAATTATTCTTTGGTGCTCACGGTTTCAGTAAAATAACTGAACTATTACATTATAAAGAATCTTACCGAGCTAACGATATGTGTAGGATCTCCATATTGACAAAAGTTTAAACATGTCCTCCTGAGACCTGAAATTTTGTTTGGAATGCATTTTTAATTTCTTCTAGCTATTTGGGATCAGAAGGACCTGATGAGCGTAAAAAACTAAACACTGTGAATGATAATTAATGTCTTCAAACGAGTATGTCCTAATTAACAGCATCTTAGTTTGTTACTGTTGCTAAAATTAGTCACATTTGTATTCCATATCAAGCTACAAACATTATTAATTATAAATAAACAAGTTTCAACCATTAAATGTGATCAGGTGTGATCACGACTTTTGTGTCGGGATCGGCTGCAGATTGACCTGGCAGAGCAGGCTGCCATTTTGTTTTTACATGGATTAATGTATTGTGGTCTTACTGCCACTAGATGGGACAAAAAAGTTTCCACGAACGAGGACAACAGGTCTAAGTAATGGAGAATGATATACACCCAAAGTAAACCCAAAATGTGGTGTACTCATATGAGGACACGGGGTCTCAGGAGGATATATATATTTGTTTGCACAGTCTTAGCAGCTAACTAACATTAGCTTCAGCGGGTAGCAAACAAGACAGTTTAATACATCTAAAGAGGTTTTATAAAAATGAACTACATGGCAACCAGACCAGGCGTCTGACTGAGACAGGCTTTTATGTGTCAAAATGTGTGGCCACGCCCAGCTAGTGAAAGGGACTGGGCATTTAACTGGGATTAGGCTTTTATTTAAAGTTTTTCAGTATGTAGGTTGTTATGTGTGCCTGTATATGATGTGTGTGTGAACAGTCATGTGTTGAACTGTTTAAGAATTGTATGCTGAAATGTTTTAATGTGGAACATTAGCCAATGAGCTACAAGGGATCCAAAAAATTCATAATCAAAACTGTACATATTGTACACACACGTCTATAGGCGATACCATACAGGCATATCTGAGAAATGTGTGTGTCACAGGCCGCTAAGTACACTGAAACTACTCATCACAGGCATGCAATGTCATGACAGAAAGGTGTGGCCAAGAATGAACATGAGATTGCATCACACACACGCACTTACGACTTTCTTGATATTCATCTTTGCCTAAAAACTACGGAAAGCATGTGTTTTCAAACTGAATTTCAGAAACTGAGGTGTTTCAGAAATTTCGTTGACAATTTTGACCCACATAGGCCTGTTTATACCAGCATGGTCTGATTTCCTTTATAGCCATGTCTTATATAGTGGTGGAAAGTAACTAAGTACATTTGCTCAAGTAGTACAATCATGAGGTACTTGTACTTTACATGAGTATTTCCAATTTATACTACTTAACACTTAAACTTCACTACATATTATTGTACTTTTAGCTCATTTATTTTAAAGCTTTGGTTACTTTAAAGAATTTAATTAATACAAAATATAATCAAGTACTCAATTATAATGTCTAATTATAGGTTAAGCTGCCCAGCAATAAGCTATATATAGGTATATATCTGGGTGTTCACACAGACAATAAGCTGGTCTGGACTAAAAACTGGAGTCTGTAGTGGAGGTGTCAGAGAGGAGGATACCGAGAAGACTACTCAGTATTCTGGACAACGCCTCTCACCCCCTGCATGCCACTCTTGAGTCATATCAGAGCATATTCAGCCGTGGACTGAGACCACCGAGGAGCACCAGAGAAAGCCACAGGAGATCTTTTCTACCTGTGGCCATCAAACTGTGTACTGTAAAACTTTAATCAGTAGCCCAGGCTGTTATTTGCTTAAATCACTGAACTCAACAGGCTTATATTAGGGGCAGGCCTTTAATTCCTTTTACACAACACTGTTGCTTAGTTAAGATGGGAAATATTCATTCATTCATTTTCTGCTTATCCTCTTGGGGGTCATGGGGGGCTGGAGCCTATCCCAGCTGATACTGGGTGAAAGGCGGGGTACACCCTGGACAGGTGACCAGACTATCACAGGGCTGACACATATACACAGAGACAGACAACCATTCACACTTACATTCACACCTATGGGTACCAGTTAACCTAATCTGCATGTCTTTGGACTGTGGGAGGAAGCTGGAGTACAGGCCTCAAGCCTCTAATTTGGACGGGCCTTTATTTGTCAACATGTGTAGCCACACCATGCTAGTAAAGGGACTGGGTGTCTAATTGGGACTCGGCTTTTAATTGAAGTTTTAGGGTAACTCCTCCCCCTTCTGTAGGGAGGAGAGCTGAAACAAAGGACACTGACAACAAAATTCACCTATACATTAGGTGCACTACAACTTTTACATGATGTACATTACTACTATTGCTTCTTCAAAATAAGTTAAAAAAAAATAGCCGCCCACAGACGCCATAATGGGAGATATGATGAACTCACTGTCTATGGTTTAGTTTTACTCACTGCTTGATGATCCAGGTGCTACGGTTGGTTTTAGAGTTGACTGATTTGCAGGATGTAGGGAGAGTTGCAAGATGACGCTGTGGCATTCCCAAAAATAAACAGGCCTTTCCAAAAAACAAAGTTCAAATCAATGGGGTAAACATTATCAAACAATAAAAACTAAGATTAACCAAAAACACAGCGGTTAAGGACTGTAACCCTGTGGTGTCTTCCATGCTCCACACTCACTTCATCACACCTGTCTTTAATTAAAAGTGCCTGAGATGCCAGGTCAAGTGGCGCATTAAGTGACTCAAAAAATAATAGGAAACTAGGACTTGCTCAAAATGGCTATAACAACTACTTTTCAATATCTCGTGCAATATTTTCTCAACATCATGTGCAATACTACTTCTCATTGTTGTATCATACACAATTTAATGTTGATTATCAGTATCAGTATGATGTTGCTTTTGCTCATTTAACATGTAACATCTTGTATATTTTGAATATTTTACATGATATTTAATACTCTATTGTTTCTAAAGCTGGGCAGTGTGTGACCTTGACCTGGGGAACCCACTAGTTGTTATTTGTTTGTGAACGTTGAGTGTTGTTACTGTATTTTGTGTTACTGTAATTGAAGCATTATCGAGCACAAGAGTTTCCTTCGAGACAAATTAAATTGAATTGAATTTAATTGAATTAAATAAAGTAATTAAAATGAGTGCTGTCTTTACCAGCTGCAACATTAAAATAATACATAAGTTTATCATTGAGGTGAGGAGATATTTTGTAATGGTCATGGGTCAGAGTAATTTTTCGTGTTTGCGTTGTTTTTGTATTAAAAGCTTGTAGGTTATTAGTTATGAAAAAAATCAAACACTTACTAAAAAGTCCAAGATAATAGCATTGATTTGAGTCAACTTTTAGCTAGCGAGCTAAAGCCATGTGGCAGCTAGCTTAAAATGTTGAGGTGTCAAGAGGTCAGCTGGGGATGGTTGTCATAGTTGTGTGACAGTTCAGGAAGACAGTCAGCATGGCAAACATGTAGTCCATATGTTCTCGGGTGTTATTGATCACACACACACACACACACAATGTCGCTTTTGTTACTCATTAGGAAACAATGTTGTATCTAAACAGTTACATACTTCAACCTCGGCTGTTTGACGTTTTAACAAAAGTATCTGGTCACATTGTGATGAAGATTTATCTGTTCCAAACCCACTGTTTCATTTAATGTGATATTTATAATGAATTGATATGATACAATGGCTTCAATAAAGGCTAGATTTGTTTCAGACCTGTAAATTCCTTCATGTTTCTTCTCATTAAAGAGCGTAATTCAAACAAACAATCACCTGATTCAAATTCATGGTTTAAACAAGAGGCTTATTTGGTTTTTCTATAGCCTATTAAAAAACTAAAAAGTTACATATTCTAAATCATTTTTTCCCCATGAAACCCCACTGATAACTATATGGACATCCCTGTGATGGCGTTGGTTGTCATAGTGTGTCATAGTGTCTTTGATGATTAATTTCTTTTTCTTACAACAAGTTGTAAAAATAAAAGTGATACCCATTTCAAGCCAAGACTTTAAGCTTTTATTTAATGTAGGAATGATTACTGAAAGATGTTTTGGCAATTCACACAAGAGTAAAAAGTGTGACAACCAACCCCGGTCTCCCCTACTTAAAAAATATTTCGATGCTGATTCTTTGGTACTTTGAACTGACTTTTACTTAAGTAAAAGATCTGAGTACTTCTTCCACCACTGGTTATTTAAAATACATTTTTTAATTCATTTAGAAATATTTCACCAACAGATGTCGGAATCAACTGTAGACCCAGTCATGATGATAAATCCAAGCTTGAATTATTATTTTTTATGTAACACTTTTATTGTTGTACATTTATAATCGTGATGATCGCTGCATTTATCAACCCTGAGCAATTCTCACCCACCCACTCCCCTGAGCTGCCCACAGTCCTCAGCCTACTTACTATATGTACCCTTGTTTGTGTCTTTCACACTCCGTGACAATAAAACACCACAACACTGCTCCTTTTATGAATTCACTCGGTATCAGTTCAGAAGTACAGTAGCTGTGTGATAGTTTTAAAACAAGTACTTTGAAACTGGGTTGAGTCTTTCTTTGTTTCTGTGAGAACGGGGCGAACTGTTCTTTTAAACGCGCTACCTGCGTAACACACCTGGATTCCGGAAGTGCCGTGACGTCAGCGGGAGAGGTGTTGGAAGGCATGGCTGAGGAATTCAACACAAAAAAATCCTGCTCGACTTGATTGGTGATCGGCTCGCATATATTCGTGTCGCCAGAGGCAAAGAGACACAGAGGACTTAAATCTCTTCACACACACACACACACACACCTGAGGAGGACTGAGCAGGTGACTGTCAGATTTATTTACGGGAAGTTTTTTATTAAGAAGAAAGTTTTTAAAGCTATTCAAAGATGTCTATTTTACCCGACGAGGCGGTTTTTGCTGACTTCAGGAAGCAGTGTTTATCATCAGAGAACTGGGCCAACAAGTATGATAAGCACGGGATACAGGTGTGGGTCGAGGTGTCTCCTAAAAATAAAGACAACAACGTCCCTAAAGTGCACAAGATCAGGGTAAGTACACATTAACTTCTCTCTGTTAGGACCTCAGTGTCTCTGGGCTGTGAACCTGACATCACACTCATGTGTTGCAGTGTAAGATGACCATCAAAGATGTCTCAGCCGCCACCATGTACGACGTCCTTCACGACGGCCAGTACCGTAAGAAGTGGGACCCCGCCATGTTGGAGAGTTATGACATTGCCCGGCTCTCTGCTAACGCTGATGTGGGCTACTATGCATGTGAGCACTGTTCAACCTTACCACATTTACCTGTGTGTCTGTGTCTCACCTGAAACCTCCACCTGACTCAGTTTCACCTGTTACACACCAGGAATGCAGATTAAGAGTTTGGTTCTTATTTAAATATTATTTGAAATATATTTTATGGATAAACAGCATAAAAATAATACACGTTAACATATGCCAGGGGACTAAAACAAATCTTACATCAGCTCATTAAATGTTACACAAGGTGCACATGTTCTTATTTTTAGAGTACTGAATTGACTTAATCTACTGTTTAAGTTCAATTTCAGAAATAAAAAGGTTTTACGATTGGAAAATTTTACATATATATGAGATTTTGCAAGTAATACAGTCAAATAAATGATAATAAGGGGTGAGTAAAAATACCTAACAATACGTTTTCACAAGAAAGGGAAAATTCAAAATCAAAATACAGGAGTATCGATGAAAATAGATGGCATAAATATTCTGGAGTCAGTTGACAAAATGAATGGACCGTTCTGCATATTGAGCACTTTAACTTTTAGTACTTAAAATATATTTTGATGCTGATCTTTTGGTACTTGAGTAAGATTTTGGATGCAGAGATTTAACTTGTAACAGTAGTTTTACTTTGTGGTATTACTGCTTTGGGTATTTAAAATACATTTTTTGAAATGTTAAAACAGATTTTTGCAAGTAACTGAATCAAATTGATGACATAGTATTAATTTGTTTTGGTAGACTGCATTTTTATAAGAAAGGGAAAATTCAAAATCAATAAACGAGGAAATAAAAGAACAGACATCTTGCCAAAAAATACAGGAGTGGAGACAAGATTAAAATAGGTGGCATGAATCTTCTGGAATCAGTTGATAAAATAAGCAATCCACAACAATTTCCTCCTAAGAGATTACCTTTTATACCAGTGGCAAACCTCATAGTGGCCCTTTTCCCCCTTTTTTTTATGAAAATAGAATTGGGGGGGGGGGGGGTGATCCTACTAATGATATTGATCCTAGTGATACTCCTGCATTTATGGGTATTGTGAAGTGGAGTGTATGTGGAGAACATTAGAGGAAGAAAAACCAGCCATCCAGGGTGCAGTACAAAAAAGATTATTATTCAAGATTTTAACTTTAACTTTACTGCCCCACAGATTGGGAAATTTGTCTTGTGCCCTACACCCATACTGCAGCCATAGAAATACAACGCACACCATAGTACATAGACAAGTCAACATTCTACCCAACGTAGCAATAGGAAACACAAAAAGATAAATTAATAAATAATATCATGCGCGGAAAATGCCTTTTACAAAAATGCAAAACAGCACATTGTCATAACCCAATGCCAGTTCTAGCTTCATCTGCTATTGTTTAAGAACTTTATAGACAGAGGTATGAGTGAATCTCCATCAGAGCGCAGCAGCTCCGTTTGTCTCTTGTTCATGTTTGTACCAAATATGCTCGGCCCAGCACTGTTTTATACTGTTTATATGGAAGAGTAGTGCTGTTTCAAGGAAGTACAGCATTAAAGTCAGCGCTGATTTTTTGATTTTATGTTGTGACCTAGTCCTTTAGCATCATGTTGATAAAAGGTGGGGCAAATTCTTTGCAAATGACAGAGTAAAATGCACCTTAATTTGAGCCATTGTAAAACAATTATTTTCCCATCAGCAAACTCTTCTGACTCTTGTTACTCAAACTAAATTTGCTTTTCCTCTTCTACATCATGCCGTCTCCTTTAACTTCCTTGTCTAATACATTAGAATCTCTTTCTTCTCTCGACACGTTTGTGCGCCACTGAAGCCCTCGGGAATGAAGACTGAGCGCTCTCCCGTTCCACCAGTGTATTTATTGTCATAACAAAGGAGCACTTGTTGAGTGTAAGGTTGTGCACAATGAAGAAACCCAAAATAACCAGGTGTTTATGGGTTCTGTTTTTTTTTTTTTTTTCTGCAGGGATTTCTCCAAAGCCTATAACCAACAGAGATGTGGTGACTCTGCGTTCGTGGCAGGTGAACGAGGACGAGTACATCATCATTAACTTCTCAGTCAAACACCCGGTACGACGACGACACCTCCTCCACACACTCCCACTGTCTTTGAACGTGACATTTCTACATTTCTATTCAGTTAAACAAGCAAATAATCAACAATGAAAATAACTTAGTTGGAGCTGTAGTTTTAGCCAAATTGCATGACGTGTCTGTGTTTTTCGGGTAAATTTAGTTTTTCTCATTGCTCTCCAAACTGTTTTTATTCCACTCCAGAAATACCCTCCTCGCAGCAGAATTGTGCGGGCCGTCTCCATCCTCACTGGCTATTTAATCAAGCCCATCGGACCAAACAGCTGCACCTTCACATACCTTTCACAAGCTGACCCCAAAGGTAAGACCAACACTATATTTTCCAAACTGAGAGTTCCTGCTGAACATTTTTGGAGCTCTAACATTCATGTCTTTGCTCCAGGTTCTCTTCCAAAGTGGGCAGTGAACTACGCTTCCCAACTCCTCGCTCCAAAGGTACGTACCGTAACGTGTCGCAAACTCTTTTCAGTAAAGGTTGTATTTACTTGTAGTCAACAAGGTGATAAGGTTAAAAATACACGAGGGCGTGTGTCAGGCAGGCAATTAAAAAGCGTGTAATAGGTGTGTGTGCGCATAATGGAGTGAGGGTTTCATGTGTCTTAAAGGACAATGGTAACCATAGAAACCCAATTTAAGGGCCTGTCCTGGTGAGTTTGCTGACAAAGGAGTATCTCAGCCTGAGTTGTCGCTCTCTCTCGGCAGAACTCGTTCCCCAGGTTTCATATGCTCCGCTGACTGAAACTATTTAGAGCAACGTGTGTGAGTGAGAAGCCGCCATTCAGGCTTGTGCCTTTAAACTAAACCAAAACATTGACCTTCATTACCTACTAACAGTACGGAGCCCAAAAGTTTTATTTACTAATATCAAACAAGAATTGACAGCCAAATATTACTCATGAAATATTTATACAAAATGATTCAAGAATTCATTTACTTTTAAAACTGCCTCTTTATTAGGAAATGAGTGCACACAACATATTGATAGTCAATTAAAAATGAATTAATAACTTTTTGTACAGGCTCAGTTGAACATTGCTATAATAGTGTGTGGTTATAACCAATCCAACAGCACACCTGGATTTGCATCACTGCACACCAGTGTACCGCGGCACACCATTTGAGAGCCACTGTCGTAAGGGAACAAGTTTGTTATCTGTGCTTTAGTTATCCCATTATCTTGCATGCATACGTTATCTTGTTTGCACAAGATAATAAGTTGTGCTCACAAGGTGAAAAAAATACCACGTTATGGGACTCTGGGGGCTCCACGTGACAGTGAATCTTTAAATTAAAATCTTCATAAGGCAATATAACACATATCTCAGGGCTGGCTTATTGGTGAACGTTCAAACTGGGAATGAAAATAATTTAATCCTTAATTGTAGGTCACTTTAAATCATTTTGAGGCTTGCTTGTTTTAATTTGAGTGACTGGAGCAGGGCTGCAACTAATGACAAATCATTGTGGATTAATGTGGTGATTATTTTGGTCTATAAAGTGTTGAGACCAAGGTGATGTCTTCCAGATGCTTGTTTTGTCCGACCAACAGTTCAAAACCTCCAGATATTCAGTTTACTGTCACAGAACGCTAAGAAAACCAGCACACCTTTACAGCTGCGGGGCTAAAACCTTTTTATTTTAGCATTTTTGCGCATCAAACCCTGTAGATTGATTTAATATAGTTGCCCATTGAATTTTCTGCTGATTGACTAATCAATTAGCCGGCAAATCTTTTCACCTCTAAACTACAGAATTACTGACGGCAGAAAAAACACTGTTATGTAAGTGAACTGTGTCATATTTAAGAGAGGAGGGGTCCTTTATTGTTTGACCTTTTGGTTGGGAGAAAAACGGCCTTACAAAGTCATTGCCTAATTCAGTCGAAGCTGCAGTTTGGTTTGATGAAGCAAACTTATGTTCAGTATTAGTTTTGTTTGACATCGGTGGATGTCAAGAATTTATGTGCCTTTTTAATTTAGTCTTTGTTAACGGCTTAACCCTTTGAAACCTGAACAAATTGGTCTGATTTGTTTTAAAAAATATGGGAAGAAGGCAATGAGCAATGAAAGAGGGGAAAAAAAACAAAATTAGCAAGAAATTGGTAAAAAGAGAAAATTAAAAACAATAAATTAGTAAATGACCTGGAAAGAGTGCTCAAATTGTTATTATTCTGTGACATAATTTTAAAAATAATTAATAATGTAATCACAGTAATCATGTCAAATATAGTTTTCTCTAGTTTGATTTTATCATTATTTTTTTGAAAATTAATATTTTATTTATTTATTTTGCAATTTGTGAGACATTTTTTTCCCCAAGTTGCTTATTGCCTTTTCCAAATGTTTTTGAAAAAAAAAAAAATGCACCACTTTGCTCAGGCTTCAAAGGTTTAAATACTTGCAAAAGGCATCTAAAAGCAGCACAAGAAAAGTGATGTCACTCCAGGTTTCAAAGGGTTAAATATGAGTTTACTATTAATTTTAATCTTTTTGTGTGTGTTACATTTAACACGTAATCGTAGACTTTGTCAGAGCTGTAAATAGTGAGACTTGTGTAACTGCCTGCCACATAACCTGTTGCGTAGTATTTTGTGACCAGCTTTATCTCCAGCTTTGTTGACTGAGAATGAAGGTGCGGTATGTGTCGGACTGCAGCCCTTTGATAATGGTTTCCTCTCTTGAACCGCTCCTTCCAGGTGATGAAGTGTGTACACAAGGCAGGACAGAACTACCCAGAGTGGAAAGAGAAGAACTCTCCTGACCTGAAGCCCTGGCTGTACCCGGAGCAGAACACATTGCCCATGATGGACCCTGCTGAACTGTCGATACAGAGAGGCGACTCGCTAGAAAATTTGGACGAGAGCTCAAAGGTGGAAGTTCAGCAGGACGGCGAGGACAGCAGTTAAATCTTATTCGAGTGATTGAGTGCGGCAGAGAGATCAGGAGACTGTATATACTCACACATTCAATAAGACTTGAAAACTCTGACTCTCTGTGATGTCGCCCTGATGCTCTTGAATATTTATCCAGTTTTCCAAATCAGTGCCTTTTGGGATGAGCAAGAGCATGAAGTGTTTACAGCTGTCTTTGCAGACGGAAATGAGCACAGATCAAGTTGCCATTCACCTCAGTCCATGTTGAACTAAGCTAAACATCTCACCAGTGTTTGCCACCAGGCTTTTAAAACGTTTTTTGGGAACACTTATTCGGCTAGTCCACCGACAGATAGTTTATGGAATATCTAACAGTATTTGGAACAATTCATGACATATTCTCAAAATAATTTAATGGGATTTGAACTAGTCACGAAATCTATGCTGCATAGGTCGAGTGACTAGTTTAAGTTCAACTATATTATTCTGAGAACATGTAGGTATGTTCATAAACCGGGGCCGCATCATTGCCAAGCTGGCATGCGCCTACAGTGTACCAAGTAGGCAGAGTCTGCACACGATAGTTATCGTAGCCGGCAGATACGCCATACACGCTGCTAAATTGCAGCAGCAAGAGCAGCGTTTAAGTCACCATGACCACATGGACCAAACAAGCACAAGTCAAGCTAGATTGATAAGACAAAGAATTGATGAATGTCACGTCTTACTTCATATTGTGAACATCGCTGTCCATGCAGGCAATTATTTGGCAACTATGAAAGCTACCACGTCTTGTGCGCTAGTGTTGTTTGTCCTGTCTGGTGACACTTACATGGTGGCGGCCACTGGCTGACAGATTACACTCTGTTTGAACCGTTTTCCCGGCCCTTGCCATTCCAATGGCGCAGGCCCATTCTATAGACAATCTAGTAAACATCTACAGAATAAGATGAAACGGTTCAATCAAATCTCAACCTAAAAAACTGTCAAAATGTTACCAATACTCTATATACCTTATGTAGGCAGACTATCCTAACTAAGTGTTGCCCCTTTTTGTTGTCCAAGTACAGGCTTGGAGGTGTCAGGTTTAAATGTGTCACAGTTACAGCACTACATTTACGATGGGCCCTCCGTCACGATGTTGTTTTAGTTGCAGCTATGTAACATACACACATTTTAAATGAAGAAATGGAGCACGGTTGTCTACTTTGTCTTTACAAGTGACTGTGAATAGTTAAAAGTAGAGTGAAGTGAAATTATTCTTTTCTTTGTTGAATGTCAGATAAAAAGTCATTTTTTATTTTGTTAAATCACATTATAATATGGCTAGTTGCAGATAAAACATCCTGGGATACCATAAAATCTATTACAGTGAACAGTTCTGGGCATCAACCTTGAATCTGTTTTTCAGAAACCCAAATTTTAGCGTAGTACAAAGAAAAAAGAAACTTCACAGTCACTATATTTGCTTCTAATTTTTGGATTTAAATGTGAAGATTTTTACTCATGTTACTTCTAACCCTTGGGTAATTTAAGTTAGTCATGATTAGTAAGCAACTGTGCTGTTTGTATTCTCTATGTGTAAAACAGGAAGTCAGTTTGAAGGTTCGTTGTGTTCATTCAGATGTTGTGCAATCAAAGGGTTAAGCAATGTAATTCTTATTATAAGTTATACAGACCCTGAACTTGTATTGGCACTCAAGGAGGAGATCAACTGTCGATCCCTGAGGATTAAAATCTAGTGAGGTTGTATTTACATGTAAACTGTACATAGTAAATTTTATCATTTGAATATCTCTTTACCTGAAGGATTAGAACGACCAAAAATGTTTTATTTTATTTATTTATTTGAAGTTTCTGTAAGCTCAGGTGAAGGCATGGTGGGTGGAGAAAAGACCAGGGAATGAAGCCGTGCAGGCCGAGCTATTTTGTTTTTTCTTCATAAGATATTTCACATTGAGAATGTTCATGGTCTTGACTTTTTAAATAAACCTCACAAGGTTGATGTGCTTTGGTAATCCCTGTCGTTGACTGCATTCCTTTCAAGATGACAATCGGTCTCAGGAGGAACCAACATACAAAGTCGAGCAAGTGTGAAAACAGGGCAAACTGGTTCATTTCCAGATGGTTCTGGCTCTTCAAGTACAAAGACAAAAGGTTACTGGGGTTTAAAACTTTTTATTTCTTTTACCATGTCAATGTCATGTTCATTGAAATTCTGAAAAACACTTGAAGATCAGTAAGTTCATCTGATGGAAAAGTTATGTGTATGAAAACTATTAGTGTACAAAAGAATAAGACGGTGTTCAGGTGAAACAGGCGGTGATTTGCACACAAACAAATGCTTTATACGAGCATACTGCAGTAACATCCAGAGACATTCAATTGTTTTCTATAAATGTTTGAAAGTGTGCAGATTCACTTTGTCCAAAGCTTGTATCAGCTGATTTTACTGATTAGCACGCCTTGAACCACAGAGGCAAAAATGATAAAAGTACCTGACAGTCTTGAGCTGGAATAAAATCCTGCCAACATCAGGGTCTCAACTGCACACAGATAAACAGCATGTAATGTGCTGTTATCATGCACTGTTATCATGCACTGTAACTGCATGTTAGAAGTTATACTTGTCAACAGTTTGGCCCCTCAAATATACAATTCGTACATAAAATATCATTCAGCCCATAAGCAGGTCATTTAAAACATATATTGTATGAAACATGAACATGATTGATAATATTTAAAGGGGCTCTATGCAAAATTCAGAGCGCATGAGTTTGGACACGGTTCTCAACATGGAGGTGTCTGAGCAGGTGGCTAGCAGCTAACGATGCTAACAACAGCAACAGTGCTGACAGAGCTAACATTTTTAACCAGGGACAAACCTATATGTGTAGCCGAACTTAGTTTATCACAACAAACCACCGAGAAGCTCAGATTACAAACTGCCGATCCATCTCACGCTCCATTCTACCCTCACTCATGAACAAGATCCCGAGATACTTTAACTCACTCCCAACCTGAAGGGGGCAATCCACCGTTTTCTGGCAGACAACCATGGCTGCAGACTTGAAGGTGCTGACTCAGGTGCTCAGCAGCACCTTCACTATTTATTTACACAGTAAATAGTGGTTTGCTACTATATTAATGCTCTGAATGTCACGCACATGCTCGGTCCATAACAGCAGTCACTGAAATATATTTACACAACTTGATATTCCCTAAACAACTTTTTTGTTAAATATTTAAAAACTGGACGTACAGTTTATTCACAGTGATTCTTAGAACAGTGTATTTACCAGAAGTCTTGCACATCATTTGCTCTTACATGAGGCCCTGCTGTCTGTGTACCATATGTGTCAGTGTGTACTGAGGTCCAAGTCATAAGTACATTTGTTACATGTACATACACCCAGTTGCCAGTTAATGTAAGAAACATACAAACAGTGATATGTTGCTGAAAGTTTTAGGAAAACACCTTTGAGTTTAAATGATTCTATCAAACATTATACCTTTTCATGATTGTAGGATTTACTGTCAGCTGACTTATTGCATTAGTTTTAGCTTGGCGTACCTAATTGACTAAGAACTCAGCGTATGTGTCTTAACTTTATAGCAGTATCATCAAGGCAAATGTGTACAGTAGACACAAGTCCTACTCTGTACTCGATCAAAATATGTCTAGTAGAAACATCCAATTACAGGGCATGAGGAAAAGCGAAGATAAAACGATTACGTTGGGTCTGTAAATGTTAAAGCTTGACTGGAAAAATATGCATCAGTTCCATAATTTATAACGTGAAATGTCTATATTAAGCTCCTGTTTGTACTATGACTGCCTTCACTTGCTGTGAACACATCCTGATGGAGTAGAAATCATGTATCACAGTAGACCAGGGAGCGCTCAGATATCTGGGTGAGATGAGTATATAACAGAGTATATGTTGCCCTTACATGGAGGACTTTGAATCAGGCTGTTAGTCATGCATCAGTCATCTTGAAGCTGAGACAGAATGGAGGCCAGAGTCTGTAGGAGGAGGGTAATGACGTGCAGTGACGCGGCTGTCCAACTCTTTCTCTCTCTGCTGCCACCTAATGTACGGTCCTCTCCTTCTGTCTTTGGTAATCTGATAGAAGAACACACAGAGAACAACACTGTAGTACTGAAAGGGAATTTAATTATCAGACCTCCTACCAGTATGATTAAATTCTGTCACTCCAAAGCATGTCTTTTTGTTGTTGAAGACGTGCAGTGAGATCAGACAGATAGTTATCTCAGCGACAGCATGTGGGTACTGTAACATGCTGGCAGCGAGGTGCTGACAAGCTTCAAATTCTTAAGGTTTGTTCCCTCAGAACGAGATATGTTATTTACAAAAGCCTTTTTCACACATTCATTTTTCACTGTCATTCTGATAAGGCATGTAACACATCACATATGACGTATACTGTAGTATGAGCACACTGGGGGATGATAAAAGGGTTGCTCTATCATGCCCAAAGTGAGTTAGGTTCTACTTTACTTACTAAATCTAAAGGGGTAGTATGTAGGATTTAGTGGCGTCTAGCAGTAAAGTTGCAGACTGCAAACAACTGAACACCCCTTGGTTCACCCGTCCCTTTCCAAGTGTGTAGAGAACTGGCAGAGGCCATCAGGTAACATAAAACCACAGAGGCCCTCTCCAGAGTCATTGTTTGGGTTGTCCGTTCTGGGCTACTGTAGAAACAAGGCAGTGAAATCTGGTGGGCTCACAATGTACAGATATGAAGGACTCATTCAAGGCTAAAGAAAACACAACAACTCTTAGCTTCTGAGGTCTGTACTATGATGCCAGTTCATCTTACCCAGAATATCTTTTCATTATCTGCCTTGACTAACCCGTCACATTGGTCGTCTGGATAACTGGTACTACAAAGCTGGTTATCAACTAGTTCAGTCAACTCTGGGTTTCCTATCCAGCCACGAGCACGTTCATGTGAAAGCGGGTGTTAATTACGAGCAACATCATCAGGACCATGAATGAAGTACACTGCTTCATATCATATGATATGAAACGGTACCAAAAGTGTCTGACAAGGGATGTACAGGGGACATGGGATGCAAACGATACTCTGTAATGTTATAATGGAAAATGTAATTGCATTCATAATAACTGGATCCAATTAAAAGTGTCTGGATTACTCTTCTAATAAAATATTATCTTCGTTATTCAAGTTCTCATCACACAGGTGTCTCATTATTTTAAGTTGCAGCGATGGAATCAGAGTGTAAAACAGCAACACTATCACTGCAGACTAAAATAAACTTTGCATAAGTTGAAATCCTGCAAAAATAATGTGTTCAGTGTTGTTAATGATCTCCGTGTTTGTTAGAAGCTGTTTTAAAACCAGTGGAAATAGAGCCCTGGAACAATGAAATGATTCTGCTGACCTCAAACAACATATAGGCTAACCTTTTTTACCTGAGACTCTGCTCCAGAGCAGGTTATCTTACCCAGAGTTAACCCTGAAGTTACCTCGCTAACTTCAAATCCTGCTCCGTATTACAGGCCTCTGGTGAATATACACTAATGAAAACATAATTATGAATATCAAGTTACATTTCTGCCAATCGATCTACCTTATGCATTCACATGGATGCAGGCAGACAAATAACATCTTCTGGATGGCACGGGAAAAACAAACAAAGAGTCCAATATGTTGTGATGGTGATGTCGTATTGTTTACAAAGAATGGAATAAAATATATTAAATTAAATCTTCTTTTTTTTTGTCTACAATTTTATGTAATTCTTCTAGTAATGTCCATTGACTGTCCAGATCACCCATGTTTCTCCTCATGTGATGGACGTACGTAAAATCTGGTCTGTCACAGAGGACGCCAAAAAATGACAATACTTTAACTCTGGACTTCAATGCCTTCTAGCGTTACCAGTATTCTCTGTCCACCTCACCTGATTTTACCACCTGCTCTTATCCACTAAAGTAGTGGCTCCCAACTGATGGGCTGCAGTCCAAAAGTGGCTCACAGATCCATTCTAAATGGACCGCAAGTGACTCGCAAACGTGTCAAGTTTGTAAAAAACACACTTTATAATAGTGTGCGGTAAATTTCTGGTACAGAGCTTTAACACTGAAGTGCCGTTTGGCCAAACACAAGTATGACACTGAATATATCAAACTATGTGGACACTGAGCTAATGACCAGTTGGGAACCACTGCACTAAGGTAAGATCTGGTTTGCTGTCTTCCATCTGCTTGAATCTATGTGAATGCAGCATAAATTGTACACACTGATCCTTTGACATCCTATGTTTTCTGATGCTGTTAAAGGTCTGTTTGTATCAGTAGACATTTTTAAACAAAACCAGAAAGCAGGGCTACATTTTAAATCATAATCTGTCCAAAAACACAAAAGGCTAATTTTACACATACACCTCAAACATCTCAGTTCCTGTACATTAATTTATCTGTTATTTAAGGTAACAAGATACTGATTAGGCCATTAAAGACAAACTGTGTAGTCAATCAAGTCAATCAATAATGCTAAATGCTAAAATAAAAAGAATGTAAATTGCATTCACAGACAGTGGGTATTGATAAGCCATTAAGCACCATTACTACAACTGTATTATTACAGTTATTATCTGACAGGTATTTTTTGTTTGTTTTTATCATCATGAATAATTTCTTTCATCCTATTTCCTCTCCACTGTAATGTGTTAGATGTCATGTGTTCCAAGGCTTCATTTCGTTACTCAGAAAACATCTGAAAACAACATCTGACTCTAATTTACAAACAACATCTGACTCTAATTTACAAAGACTCTTAACACTTCATTGTTTGTGGCTTTTTTTTGTTAAACTGTACATCTTCAACAATTCTGTCTGGAACTCTTGTTTGATTATGCAATCTTCGTTTTTATCTTTATAGGGGAAGTATCTTCATCAGACATTTATGGCTTCTAAACCTCTCCTGCACAGTGTTTTAAATTTTAATTTCCTTTTTACTGTATTTT